AGGGACCCTGAGGTCGCTGACCCAGGATACTCTCAAGTCTTGCCAGTCCCCACAGTGCTGAGTGCGCTCGCCTTGCAAGGCCCACACCCTCGTGTGTGTGAGGCTGGCCTACCAAGGCCACCTCCCTCCCCTCCTGCCTGGCTGTGGAGTGAAATCTGGACAGTGTGTGGGGGGCTGGGTCAACCTGAGCAAGTCACTGCACCTCTGTGGGGAAGGGGATCCCCAGGCCCAGCTGGCAGGGGGTCTGGGAGATGTGAATACAAATCAAAGGGGCCACGATGTCCAGCACACACGCATGGCCCTGGGCCCATCCTTGTCATTACTGAGGACCTGCCCTTGGATAGAAGCAGGGGCAAGAGACCTATGCGGGCATGTGTGCATGCACACGTTATTAAGTCCCCAATATTCCGGGAAAGGGGGGATGGAAAATCCAATAACTAAACTGGCTTGGGACATGTGTTTTTGTTGTTGTTGTTGAGGGGAAGTAGTTCAAACTACCTTTTATTTAAAAATCATAGAGGTCTTTAAGACTTAGAATTGAGTTATTTAACTAAATTACATTAACAATGGTCCAAACTGCTCCTGGGTGTGGGGGCACGGGCAACGGAGAGAGTCCCAAGACTGAGGGCTCACCTTCCAGGGGACAAGACAAAACTCACCTGAAGATAAGCCAGAGGCTGGCAATGACCCTGCTAAAGAGCAATGGCAAAGTGAAGCATAGGGCCCAGGGGGCGGGTGGACTAGGTGTGCTCCTACCCCAACTGCCTGGCACCTTCACATTCCCTCGATCCTCCCAGCAGCCTGGGGAGATCCACATTACAACCCCATTTTGCAGATGAGGAAAAAAAGCCTCAAGAAGTGAGGTGACCTGCCTGTAGCCACCTGGTGTCAGAGGCAGAATTTTAACCTGGTCAGTTCAAGTGCAGAACTCTTGCTCTAACAGCCCCGATGCTGACTCCACCTCCTGCCTCATCCTTCCTGGCCTCCCTCACCCATGGCAACCTACCCACCTCTTCTCTCTGACACTGATCTGCCTTGGGTTTCCTGGAGGCCACGTGTGAGATGTGTCCCCTGATCTCTTCATCCCATCCCCATTTCTTTGACCTCTTTCAAAAGAGCAAAGCTTTGAAGGCAGGTGGGGGGGAGCAGACTAATAATGTGCCTCAGTTCCTATGTCTGTAATGGGGACCCCAGGGTTCATGTAGGGACTCAAGTCCTGAAAGGGCCCAGAGGACTCAGAAGGTGTTCAGGAGGAGGCAGTGACATTTGAACTGAGTTTTAATGGGTGGAGTTTTCTTTCTAGGCAGAGGGAGATGACAGCCAGCGCCATATGTTTAGGGAACCTCAAGTAGATTATAATTGCTGTGAAGCACGGTCCAATTCCTTGGACTTCCGTAAGAGGAAATGGGGGATGAGGAAGGTGGGACCCTGCTTCACTTAGGGAGACCACACCAGCTGTTCTGCAGAGCTGCTGTGTGCTCTTCCTGTGCAGGCCTGCACTGCCTTCTTCCAGGCCTCCTCCCCTGCTCCTGGCCAAGCCCTCCTGCCTCTGCACACACCAGGGCCTCCTGGGGGCCAGTGCACTTGCCTCTTCCAGAAGCTTCCCTTCAGTCTCTTTTGCTCAAGAGGAGGATTCATTGTCTGCAATCGCTCACTGCCACTCCATCCACAGGGACTGCTGATGCCAACACTTTTGTCCCCGTGTCCCCGAAGTGCATGTTCATCGTCAGCCTCTGGGGCCCCATTTTTGGTTCAGAAAGTGCCGTCTCGGGTTGTATAGTACTTAAGAGATGACTGTCACATGACACAGGCATGTGACCTCAGCCAGTTGCGGACACATCTCTGATTTGCCCCTTTGGTTTCTGTTTCCCCAGGAAGGGCTCAGGTAAGACAAGCTAATGAAGGAATGCATGCTTCCTTCACCTTTTGTCCAGAAGCTTCTTCACAGCAAGAACTTCTTAAAAGACAGAGCCTGGCACATACTAGGTGCTCAACAAATGTAAAGAAGTTCAATAAATGCCTCTTGGATGTCCCCAGAATTACTTATGGGCACTTTCACTTCATCATTTGGCCGAGATCACTACTGACAAATGCTTGAGAAGTAGACCCTGAGACTAGAGATGACAAGTGACTTGTCCAAAGCCATACAAGAAAAAAACCTCTCCACACTGAATACTTCCAGAGCTGGATGCTCCTGAGCCTCTTGACTGCCAAAATCACCCTCATTGTCCTGACTGTGATGATTTTTATAGGTGTGATCTTGTGTACTCCTCAGAGGACAAATGGGGGGCTCCGCATCCCCAACTCTCTCCTGCTCACAGCTGCTTTCTGCAGAACTGAGGAGCAGCTGCTGGGCCAGGCCCAGGAATGCAGCCCATAGCCTGGCAGCCACACCTCCAGAAGCAATGGCTCCCTCCCTGGGGCCCTGGGTGCCCTGCTTCCCACTCCCTCTGGGTGTTCACTCACTGGGCGGTTCCTACTGTGGCTGTGCTGACTATTCAGGGGTGGGGGCAGCTGGCCTTTGCTCACTATTCCTAAATCTTTGCCTTGCCACTCACCTCCTCCAGGAAACCTCCCCACACTGAACACCTCCAGAGAGCAGAAATGGAGCTCAGAGTCCATATGGTCCCCCACTTTCTGCACCCATTTTGCAGATGGGGAAAACACAGTGCAGAGAGGTCTTCTCTGTGGGTAGTGCGGTGGCTGAGAGGGGAGCCTGTTGGCTCCTAGACCAGAGCTCTTCAGACCCTGCTCCGCTGCTGTGACCTGCAGCAACAACCACACTCAGCACCTACGGTGTGAAACTGGAGACGTGGCCCTAGATGATGGTCACATCAACATCCAGCTCAGGCCAGGGGAGGCTTCCTAGCTGGGGAGATGGATGGGTTGCCTGTGACCCTTCCCATTTCTGCACAGGCTCCCTCTTGGAGCTTTACAAGTAGAAACTCTTAATTATGACATCAACCAAATGAGCAGTACCTCCATATTACTGATGAGAAAGCTTTGGCAGACATACCATGGTTATCCCCATCTCAGAGAGGGAAAGCACCTTAGAGATGTTAAGCACAGGTTAGAGGTGTCAGCATGGGGGAGCTGGGATTTGAACCTGGACTGTCTGACCTGGAGTCTCCTCTTTGAGGCTCCTTCCTGCACTGCTGTCCTTAAATCAAGTCCCTGTCCTCCAAACTGTACTCTCTGCAAATGTAACAGCCACATTTCTCCTTAGAGAAGCTATGAACTTTGGAGAAAAAGGCACTTGTGGGGGGAGTACAGAGGTTTTATGAATTGAGCTGTGCTACCCATGTGTGAAAATTTGTCATTATTTAAGTTGCTGAGGTTGACTTTGAACTCGAGATCCTCCTGCCTCAGCTTCCTGAGCTGCTGGGATTACAGGCATGCACTACCATGCCTAGCCTAATTATTTAAATATCACAAACTTAAAACTATACTGGCCTTCATGGAAAAGTCATGGTACCCCTCTGAACTAGCATGGTCTCTCTCATAAAAGAGGATAATGCCCTCCATACCATTTATCCATCATCTGATGCTTCATGTGGCAGGCAGCTTCTGAAATGGCCCCCAGAGATCCCCACCTCCTGGGGTTCATGACCTCCTATAATCCTCTCCTGTGAATGTGGGATAGACCTATTGACTAGCTTCTAAAGAACAGAATATGACAAAGGCCATGGATGTCAGCCAGTAACCAATGAAGAACTAAATACTACTCACAATCATGAGAGCTAGCTTGGTAGCAAATGGTCCCCCAGTCAGGCAAGACTTCGGATGAGATCACAGCCTAAGGGTCCTGAGCTAAGCCAGGCCTAGATAGCTGACACCCCCACCCCAAACTGTATGAGAATAAAATCTTATTGCTTTAAGCTGCTAATTTGGTAGGTATTTTTTTTTTTCAGCAATAGATGACTAGTATTCCTAGTACATATTCAGTAGCAGGCCGTATGCTATATATCCATCCGGTGAAGATATGCTTATCAAATGCTATCATGTTCCAGTTACTGGGTTTACAGTGGTAAACCAGATGGATGTTGTTCCCTCTTTCAAAGCCCTCAAGATTGAGTTAGAGAGGTAGACTTGTAAACAAACAGTAGCGGGAGTACTATGGGAGCCCAGAGGAGATTCTGACCCAGCCTGGGGAGCTGGCAGAGGCTTTCTAGAGACAAACCCAAGACTGGAGAGGACCTTCCTGGCAGAGGTGGAGCAGAAGAGCACCTGAGGAAGGGGCTGAGAAAACAAGGTGAGTTGCTCCCTAGAGGGGAGTGAAGGGAAGTAAAATGTGGCAAAAGCCTGACTTGCAGAGGAAGGTCAGAGGGGAATCCCCAGGGTGGGGGGTGGGCATCAAAGCCCACTCAAGAGCCTAGGATTCTTCTGCCCACCAGTGGGGAGTGGGCTGAGGGACTTGGCCAGCAAGGTGGAGCAACACTACCCTGGCAGCATAGAGGAGAAGGGTCAAGCTGGAGGGCAGGAGCCCCCAGAGGAGGAAGGCAGCTACACAGGTCCAGGTGGGCAATTATGGAGGCTAGACTGGCTGAGGGCAGCTGGAGAGGAGTGGGTGGACCTTAGAGGTACAGGAAGTGGAGTGGACAAGCTTTGGGGTCTGAATGGATAGATGTGCAGGTGGCAAAGAAGAGGCAGGAATGCCTGAGTTTCTGGCAGGCAGGCTGGCTGTGCCTTTAATTAGGTGGGTGTGCACAGTTACGGGGACAGGTACTTGCTGGAAGGAGCAAGGGAGAGGGTTGGATTGGCCAGGTAGGGTTTGTGGTGTTTAGGAGGGACTTAGACTAGCAGCCTTGCTAGGGTCTTCTCCCTAGCCAAAATAGCAAAGCTTTGGGTTTAGTCTGGGATGGAAATGGGGGATGCACATTGGAAAGGTATTCCACAGGCCAAAGGCCAGGGTCGAGGTTGACTTTGGGGCAGGGGACAACCCTACAGACCAAAAGACCATGACCACAGCCTTTCCAGCCGAAGGAGGAGGTGTCACCCACCTGCTGCCCGTAGCCCAGCGCCTTGTCATAGAGCGCGATGCCAGCTGCCAGTACCCGTGCGCGTTCTTTCAGGCTGGCGCAGCCCACGTCGAAGCCGTGCGCGTAGCCCTGCTCCGCCAGGCAGCGTGCAGCGCGGAGCTGGGGGTCCGCGGGTGCCTCCGGGTCCGCCGCCAGGCCCATGAGGTCAGCCAGTCGCGCGGCGCAAGCCTCCTCCTCTTCCTCCTCGCCCAGGTGCCCGTACACATGTGCCAGATTGGCCCAGGCATTGAGGTTGCCCGGGTCCTCGCGGACCACCTGGAGAAAGCGCTCCCGGGCCTCGTCCAGCTCCTCCAGGTAGAAGGCGAAAGCACCCAGCAGGTGACACACGGCCGACCGCTGTGGGACGGCCGCCAGCTCGAGCTCCTGCTGCACGGCCTCCCGCTGCAGTTTCAGATCCCGGGCGCGCAGCGGGGCCGGCGAATGCGGCTCGAAGTTCAGCTGCATCTCTAGGTGGAAGTGGCCCGGGAGGTAGTCCAGGTCGTCGATGAAGGCGTCCAGGTCGTCGGCTGCGACCTCGGGCTCAGACATGGCTGTCTCGCTGCACCTCTGGCCGCGCTCTGGCCCCCGAGGCTGAAGAGGGCAGTGGACGGGGTCTCCCCCGAAGAGAGTGAGTCACGGTGGCCCAGCGCACGCCCGTCTCCAGGTCCCCAGCGCCTCCCGCCGGTGGGTGGGTCCCAGCGCTGGCTGGGGAACTCCCTGTAGTTGTTTCCGCTTTCGCTGCTCAGCTAGACGTCGGCGTGGCACAACCAGGTGTGCCAGAAAAACAGGTGCATCGCCAAATGCGGGGTGCGCAAACCCTGGTGGGAGGCAAAAGGCAGATTCTCACTTTTTACCCAGCAGAAGAGGAAACAAGCTGAGAGGAGGAGAAGGATTTGCCCAGGTCACAGAAGTGGGGCGTGCCCAAAGAGGCCTGGAACCCAGTTTGCCCAAGGCTGGCCTGGCCTGGCTCCGCCCTCCCTGTGTGAGCTGAGCTGTCAGGACTGGCCCTTCCAACTGCGGAAGCCACCCTGGATCCTGATGCTGTCCCATCCTTTCCGCAGCTCCTCTGTGCTCTTCCTCTCTATAGAGCCTGCCACCTCCCTCCTCTCTTCCTTTGGCCACTATTCACCATTGGGCTTTCTCTGCCTGCTCTCTGCTCAGCAGTGGCCCCTGTGGAAAGACTATGGCTTCCATGTGCTGGTTCTAATCCCATTTCTCCAACCCTAATAACACATCATTGGTCATTCTTTCTACTTTCCTTCTCTGTGACATGAGGATGACAGTTTCTACCCCAGGGGCAGGGAGTTACCAGAGGAGGTTAAACCTGATACTTGGCCTCTCTGGATAAAACTCTGTTCTATTCTTTCTCCTTGGCCCCAATCCTGTCCTGCACCCCACCTATGGCCCTAATTTTCTTGCTCTGGCCAGTCTTCCTCTCAGGATTGGAGAGATCCCCTGACCTCTAGCCTGCAGGCCGGGCAGTGGTGCTCCCTGCTGCAGGGTGGAGTCTTCTAGAGGCTGAGCCTTACAGACTCAGGTCTGGACTTTGGATCCCTCCTCATTCCACCTGAGACTGGGCTCCCACCACCGGCTGCTGCCTCATATTCTTGAAAAATACACCAGTCTTCTCAAAAGAGGAAATAGAGCCAGTTCAGTAAAGTTAGGGGAAATATTTGATTTTTGCAATAGAAAGGTAAATCAAATCAACATTTTGGTACGATTTTTTAACCTGTTGATTTTTAGGTATTGTATTTAGTACATTTAATACTTTTTAGTAAGGAGTTGTTACTATAAATTTCCGGCAATCATGAGATGAATCTTATTTCAACTGCTTGGGGTATCAGAGATGGATTCCCAGAGGTTTTAGCTTTTTTTTTTTTTTTAATTGTGGCAACATATACTTAACAAAATTTATCATTTAAGGGTATAGTTCAAGGTCATTAAGTACATTCACATATTGTGCAGCCATCACCCTTTCATCTCTGGAACTTTTTCATCTCCCCAAATTGAAACTCCATATGCATTAAACAATACCCCCTCATTCCCTCCTTCCCCCACTGCCTGGATCCCCACATTCTATGTATTTGACCACCCTAGTATTTCATGTAGGTAGAATTACACAATATTTGTTCTTTTGTGTTTGGCTTAGATCACTTAGCATAATGCATGAGTCAGAATTTCCTTCCTTTTCAAGGCTGAGTAATAGTCCATTGTCTGTATATGTCACACTTTGTTGAGCCATTCATCTGTTGGTATACACTTGAGTTGCTTCTACCTTATGGTTATTGTGGTCAATGCTGCTTTGAACAGAGGTGTATTATACAAGTAGACGTTTGGGTTCCTGCCTTTAATTCTTCTGGGTATATACCTAGAAATGGAATTTCTGGGTCATATGGTAATTCTACGTTTAATTATTTGAGAGTATCCCATGCTGGTTTTCAAAGCAGCTGCATCTTTTATTTTCCCTACCCCAGCAATTCACAAAAGTTCTAATTTCTCATCATCCTTGCCCACATGTATCTTGTACTATTTCTTTTTCTAATAACCATCCTGATGGGTGGGCTCAGCTTTTGATCTGACTTTGAGATGATGAGTAGGAGTTGAGAGGGGAAGGAGGTTGTGTGTGTGTGTTTTTCAGAAGCAGAAAAGGTTTGAAAATGTCAGAGGTTCCTCTTGTGCCAGGTGTGTCCTAGGGACAGAACAGCCCCGATGGCTGTAGCTCATAGAACCTGGGGAAGAGGTGACAGGAAATGAGGACCAAAGACAGCAGCCAAAGCCCACTCAGAACCCTCAGTCCTGCCTGGAAGGCTGGGTTACATCCAATGACAGGACACAGGGCTCCTGGGTCTGGGTGGTTAAGCCTTGCAGCCAGGAAGCTCTCAAATGTCCTAGAGTCCCATGTCCGCTATGTGACCTATATAATTGACCGGATATGACCAGGACAATTTATTCTCTGTTTGAGCTTTAGTTTCCTTTTCTGTACAGTAAGAGTCGGGCGATGTTAGAATAGTGCCTACAGGAGGGAATGAGTTGGTTGTTGGATAGGGAAGTTGCTGTGCTGGGGACGCAGGGGGTTGCCTCTGGCGGGCTGTCTTGCTGAAGAGCTGACTCAACCTGCCTGTTCCGGCTTGCCTGGCAGGGGGACTCCCAGCCCAGTGCACCTTGGCTTCCTCTTCTGTCACTACTCCATGAGTCCCTGAACCACAGGGATCAGGCCCAAAGAGAAGCTGCAGAGCCTCTGCGGGCAGGTCTGTGCCTCTGTGAGCACATGTGAACAGACCCTGGCTGGTGGAAGGTCCTCAGTGCACAGGGCTTGACAGTGTACACACCTCCTGGACACCTCAAAACAGCTCCTCCAGGAAGCGCCAGCCCTGTGTCCCTGTCCCAGGTGAGGAAATTGAAGCTTGGTGAGGGTATTTTGCCTAAAGCCACCAGCTAGGAAGCAGTCAGTTGCTGAGGATTTGTGCTTTGGGGAAGTTGGACTATGTTCATTTATCCATTCACTTGTCACTCAACAGATATTTATTGAACATTTACTGTGTGGTGTGAACTGTGCCAGGAGTGGATGAGATAGTCTGTCTGTTAGATGGAGGCTTCTGCAAGACCTCTTTCCAAGAACTGGGAATGACCTTATTGAGCTCCTGCAGTATACTAGGAGTGTTACCTAAATTAGGTCACTTATTTTTCATAGCAGTCTGTAGAGACAGATTTATCAGCTTCATTTTGCAGATAAGAATGCAGAAATACAGAAAAGAAGGTGACTTACCTAAAGTTCCACTGCTGGGGAGGAGCAAAGGCTGAGCCCAGGTGACTCAGTTTTGGGTGTATTCCTGAGGCCTGTTGCCTCTAACTATCAGCCCAGCAGTGCAGTTCTACCAGCTGTGGCCATATGCCCACCAGGCCTGGAGCTCAAATGTCCATCTGTGGGCTGTGCTTGAGGGCCACCTTTATTTAAATACCAGCTTGGGCCTGGAAGGAGACCCACTGTGCCTCTTGTTTATTTTGCCAGGGACTGGATGCAGGACCTGGGGCACATCCTACCTCTCTTGGGCTTTGTTTTTGTCACCATGGAATTGGGGTGTAGATCTCTGCCAAGTCCTTGTCTAAGGCCCTTGGGAGGATCAAAGGTGATTATGGAGAAGATAATTGTCAATCTCTTAGCACAACCACGGACACAGGTGGGAGGTGAGGTAGGAGAAAGGAAGAGAGGGCTAACTTGTGCCTGTTGTGGGTAGACACACCCTCAACTCTTTTTGTGGACTGACAAATCAAACATGCTTCAATATTGTGAAGTTTGGAATTTTATCCAAAACCTTCCCTGACCTGCCAACCCACAGGCTGGGTCTGAGGCCTTCCTCTCTCTTTGGCCTGACCATACTGTGTGGTCGTTGTTTTCCCCACTAGACTCAGGGCAGGGACCACATTTGCGTCCTGGGCACTCTGCACAGTGTCTGCCTAGAGTGGTTGTCAGGGTGTCTGGAGGTACCTTGTCACCCAGCATTCCTGCATCCCTCGCTTGTCAGTCCAGACTTACCCCTGCTCTCCCTGCTCCTCCCTACCTGACTGTCCCCTTTCTCCTCCTTCCCTCTGCCACTTGGGGAAGACGGGGCGGGGTGCACTTTGCCCTAGTCTGCCCTCTGGCGGGATTCAGGGTCCTGTCGGCAGAAGGTCAACTACAGGTGGTACTCTGAACGTTCTCGCCTCTCTTGGAGGAGCCCTGCAGAAATCAGAAACAGTTCCTCAGCGGGTGACTCTAAAGCCCCACCCAGGGGCGGCCACCCTCTTTCAACACCAGCTGGGTCTCCTATATCTGCAGGGGCTTGGGACGGTGCTGTGGCCAGGGGGCGTCAAAAAAATCAAAACGAAACCGCCAGGAGGCGGCACGGGTTCCTCGGCAGGGCGCCACGCGGGCACCGACGCGGCCGGGGCTCCGCGGATCACAAGGCCGGGTTGCCGTGGCAGCGGCGGCGGCCGCCAGCCCGCCCAGCAGGCGCGGGAGGCGCTGCCAGCGGTGGAAGCCAGGCGCCCGCAGGACTCGCGGCCCGGGCCACGCCAGCGCCATGTATGCGGCCAAGTGGTTCCAAGGGGCGCCCTTCGGGGTGCAGAGCCACAGGTGGGGCCCACCCGCATCCTGCGCTGGCACCTATGTCCAAGGCGGCCCGAGGGGCCCGTCGCAGCCACTCTCCCTGGGAGGGAGGGGCAGAGACCCCTGGGTGGGCTAGAGTCCAGGAGAGGCGGGCACTGGGGGGCTGGCCCTCCCCACCCCCCTGCACATCTGCAGCACCTCCTGGCCCAGGCTGTTCCCTTCCTAAGCTTCTTTCAAGCTGTCACCATACTAAGCTTTGCTTCTTTTCCTTTCCTTTCCTTTGTTCTTTCTTTTCCACTTCCTTAGTAAATTCTTGAAAAACATGACCACTGCAACTTCTCTGCAAGGTTTAGAAAGGCCACACCGCCTGGCCTATAGTAGGCCCAGCTTTTAAAGTCATGGTTGGGATTTCAGTCCAGATGTCCTATATTTCTTCCTTCCCTCCATCTCTCTCTCTCTCTCTCTCTCTCTCTCTCTCTCTCTGTATGACCTACTATGTGCCCTGCACAATCCTAGGATCTGTGGCTACAGCAGTGAGCAAAACAGTAAACTGTACACTTAAGGAGTTTGCATTCTTGTGGGAATGTGTGTGTGTGTGTGTGTGTGTGTGTGTGTGTGGTGTGGTGTGGTAGGGGGAGATATGTTGGGGAGTGCTAAGGTCTTTGGAGAAACACCAAGCTGGAAGAAGGAGCAGGAGGGTGGGTGTGGGTGGGATGGTTCTGGTGGAGCAGCACCCTGATGGTCAAAGCCACTACAACCCTTCTGTTCTTCATGGACTGGTTCCAAAGTCACCTTCTCTAGGAAGCCAATTCCTCCCATCCTGAGGACCACCCAGATCAGGGCCAGGTGCCAGGCTTTGGGCTCTTACTGGGCCTCTGTCCCTCCTAGATTTGATGTGTCTGCTGTTTATCCCAACCAGAAGAAATACAGCACCTTCACAGAGACCCCGTACTCCACGCATCATTCTGTGGAAGTGGTGAGTGGGCACTGCCTCCCTGCAGCCTCCCACGTGGTCTGGCCACTGCTCCTCTGAGAGGCCCACCCTGGTGGCAGCTGAGCTGTGTCAGCTGTGTCACATCCCCCAGCACTGAGCCTGCCTCTGAGTCAGGCTTCTGATGTGTTTGATAAATGCAGGACGGTAGGTGAAACAGCATGCTGGGGGCCACAGGTGACCTGGCTTCCTTTCCTAGCTCCTGTTCTGTCCAGCGGCAGGCTCTCAAGGACTCACTGTACCTCCCTCAATGGAAAAAGCCCAGTGACAGAGGAGGTCGTGAGAGCTCCTTGAGGACCAACCTCTGGGTGCCAGGCTTACTGCTGGGGGATAACTTACCTGTGATTGGGCCAGATTGTTACTCTGGCCCAATCACAGGTCAAGGGCAGCTTGGGGAGGATTTGCTCTGGGGTTGGCCTGGGTGGATGTGACTATCCCACTCTGACCACAGTCCCTCTCAGTCCCACATAGGTCCTGGAACCTATAGCTCCAGGGAGACCTGCTTCAGCAAAAAGAAGCTGAAGAAGGAGGTGGACACAGGCTGGGCTCTGGCCCAGCAAGCCATCCGGCTGACCCAGCTGCCCCACTTCCAGTACCAGACCGTTGTGAGAGAGAGGAAGTTGCAGGTGAGGGCTTTGCACCATGTCCACTGGGGCATGTCTCCTGATTTATTACGGCTGCTCCAAGCATAGCTCGGGGCAGGGCCAGGCAGAGCTCATTCTTGAGGGAGCAACACCATCCCTTGGGCTCCTTCCTGTGTGGACATTCCCTAGTTTATAGTTTTCCTCTCGTGTTCTTTTGGTGCAGGAGCAAAAGCTGGGACCTGGCTCTTACAACTTCAAAGACTTCTTACAACAGTTGCAGCAGAAGCCAGGCAGCAAGCGGGGGCTGCTTAGCTCTGGGGAGATCCGCTTCCGAGGTCTCATTGGGGTACGTGTTCTGAGCTCCTCTTGGCTGTCTGCAGAGGAATCCTTCCACCCCACCATGCAGTCTGTGGCAGACCATGAAGCCTGGGTGGTTCTGGAAATGCCCTTCCTTGTACCTGTCTCTTCCCCAGACTTGGCCAGACTCTCCCCTGGGTCTCCACGGTCCCTCTGCTTCCCTGGCTTTCACGATTTCAGCAGGGATGGGTCTGGTTCATTTTTAGGTTCCCAGAAAATAACCCAGCATATATTAGGTGCTCAATGAATTCATCCATTTATGTATCCAGTCAGCTAACCAGGAAATCACCAGTAAGTGCCTACTAAGTTCTGTCTTAGGCCTTGGGGATCTGGAAATAACAAAGATAAGGGGCTTGGGTTGTGGCTCAGCGGTAGAGTGCTTACCTAGCATGTGCGAGGCCCTGGGTTCGATCCTCAGCACCACATAAAAATAAATAAAGGCATTGTGTCCAACTACACTAATAATAACAACAACAACAACAACAAAGACAAGGTTCCTGCCCTCATAGAACAGACATCCTAGTGGTAAAAACAATAGATCAAAGAAGGAAATACATATTTAATTGGGGCTAAGAGGTCAAATGACACAGGGAAGAGCTAGAGAGTGCCAGCAGGGCAGTTTATAGAACACAGTGAGGAAAGGCCTCTGGGAGGAAGTGCCATTTGAGCATAACTTGCAGGACATGAGCAATAGAGACTTATGATATCTGTGTTTGAACATTCCAGACAGTGGGAACAGCAGAGGCTAAGGACCTGGGTGCCAGCACGCTTGGCAAATTAGACCAGTGGATAGAGAGCAAATGGATGCATCTCCAGGTGCAGAAGCTCCCCCCCCCACCCCCTAGGGAGCAGAGTGCCTGGAGGCCTTTGAAAGTGAGTCACTGCCTTCCAATCCAAATAATAATAGCTGATACCCGCCAGCACTTGCCATGTACTAATTAATTTAATCCTCACAACAGCCCTATGAAGGAGGCACCACTATTGTGTTCACAGGTGACAAAACTGGAGTAGAGGGTGTGAGTGGTCAAACCACTCAAAGGTCACAGAGCTACTAGGTGACAGTAGCAGAATTGGAATCCAAGGTGTCCATCATATAAACAAAGCCCAGAGGCTTGGTTCCCTCAGTTCTTGGATTTTGTTCCTTTTCTGTCCAGGAGAGAGTCTCTGTGGGGTTCAACCCAGCTGATAGCAGAGAAGTTGGGGGGACAAGTCTGAGAGTGTCTCCAGCACTAGGGAATCTGTGTTTGCTCCTTCTGCTTGGGGGAACTTCCCACCTTCTCCCATATCTTTCTTTGGGGATCCTTCTCATTCTTCAAGCTCCAGATTTTATTTATATATACATACATACACACACACACACATACACACACATAAATTTTAAAAATTATATGTTATGTAAATACATATATAATGTAAATTACATATATTTATATATATTACATATATTTCTTATTAGTGACCATTCATTCCTCAACTCTCTTCTCCAATTAATCCTGCCTGGGTCCTAAAAGCTCTGACAACATCACATTCTAGTTAAAAATCAGGCTTTCACACCAGCCTAATGTGATATAAAACTTCTAAACTTGAAGATCTTATGGAAGAAATGAGATTATGCTGACAAACCCAACACCGAGCTTAGCTCCATCCATGAACTCCTGGGTCAGGCCCACCCCAGGACTTGTAGTGCACTCTGTCCCCTATCCCAGTGCCAGGCAAACAGTATGGGCTCAGGAAGGACAGGGTCTTAGAGCCGGAGCCCTCATGCCTGTTTCTGGATGTGGGAGGAATCTGGACATGTGGCTTGCCTCTCTGAGATTCAGGGTCCCTTTCTGTTAACTGTGGATGGTGTCGACATGATCTCATCAGGTTGCCACCAGGACCAAGATACTAAGGCTTTCGATACATCTAGCACACAATTTAGGGGCCCAGTTTCCTTCCTACCCTTGGGGATTTTCTCTAGAACACACCAGGGCACCTGAGCTTTGGAGGGAGGCAAGGTATAGTCTCATTCTTCTGGGGACAAACTATCTGATGCCCACAGTGGCTTGAGCTCCCCAAGTTCCTGATATCTCCGCCCAGGGCCAGCTTCCAGGACCCAGAGGTAGACAAGGCTGAACCATCTGTGGAGCAGCAGTGACCCCACGTGGCTAAAAGGTGCAGACCCGCTGAAAAAGTCCTGCCAGGTCTCTGCCTAAGGATGCCCACCCATCCCCTATACTGCAGGTAGATTCTCCCCACAAAGGGCCACCCTTTGACCCTGGCAGTCCAGGCTCCAGATGGTCATTCCATCACAGTTCTTAACTCCTCCTGCCCCCCAGGACTGTCAGTCATTCTGCCCTGCGTATGTGTGGATGCTCACTATGTGCCAGGCACCGTTCAGGGGACATTCAGACCTTACTGAACTTGGTAGTTGTTACCCTGGAGGAAGGTATTGCCATCCCCTTGTTATCAATATGCACCGTAAAGCTCAGGAAGCCTGAGCTCATTCAGCTAGGAAGCAGCTGTGCCCGGATCTGAACCAGGACTCCAGTTGTTTCTGTTCCCCGGCACTGTTCACCACACAGTGAGAAAGCCATTCACGCAGGTGTGGGTGCCAAGGACGAAACTGCTGAGACCACGAAGCAGGCAACTCCCTGGGGTGACAGGGGAAGGAAGCCTTCATTCTCCGGAGAGATGATGTTCCAGCTGGCTTTGCAGGATTAGTAGAATTTCCCAAGGTGAAGAGAGCAGGACAGGCATTTGAGGTGGCGTGAGGCACAAGCGAGCCAGGGCAGGGAGGTTTGGCAGAATGTCATGTGCTCAGGCTGCACAAGGAGCGGTGCTTGCTGAAGCATGGCATGTAGAAAGCAAATGGTAAGGCATGCCTTGGACCGGACAGCGGGTCCTCGTGACGAAGACAGACTTAGAGGTGAAGGCGTGAGCTTGGAGGCTCATGGGTGATGTGGTGTGCGTTGGGGGTGGGGACACTCGGGCAGCCTGAAAATCCTGTTCCCCATGTGGGGGTGGAGATCTTATAAGCCTTTTCCTCAGATGCACCAACAATGAGAGCAGGACTGGTGGCCTGTATGTCCCCACTTTGTGTCCCACAGAACTATTATCCAGGCCCCGGGAATTATGGGGAGAAGGGCAACCCATACACGCGGCTGGAGGAGTATGCCTGGAACCGGTCCCATTCCGAGGGCCTCATGTGCAGGATGTCAAACAAGTCACCACCTGAGGCTCCTCAGGTACCCCCAACCTGGCCAGGCTCTTTCACGTGGTTCTAGAGGGGGTTCCTAGGGTTGATGGGGAAACTGAGGGCCTGAGAGGCCTACCCCCATGGCTCCCCACCAGACACTGTCACAATGCCGTGCTCTAGGGGAGTGGTTTAGGACCTGGCACCTACTCCTTCAAAACTGGCATCGAGACCTACCTGGCACGATCTACTGGCACCCGCGGCCCCTATGACATTTTCTCTGGTTACCGAAGCAAGCCCCTGCCTTTTGGACATTACTCTGTGCAGGTGGGTACCTGGGTAGCTCATGGGGTTATTTCCTCAGCAGATAACAGCCCTTACTCGCCTATCCTAGGACCACTGCTTTATGTGCCAAATGCTGCCCAGTGCCCTTCCCACACCCTGCCCCCTTCACCCCCAGAGCCAGGGAGGGACACGTCGGCTCCTGTATTGAATGAGGAGACTGAGGCTGGCCACACAGCAGAGCTGGAATTGGACTCCGGGTAGACGGTCTGATTCTGTGGCCAGTTCTCTTCTCTGCACCAGCAGGTGCTGCACTGGGGCTCAGGTGACCCATGATGTCAGGGTTGTGTGGGTGACTAGCTGTGGGGCCTGCAGGGCTCTTGAAGACACAAATGTGGGTGTCCCACTATTCCAGAAGCATTTCCCAGGCTTCACAGACCCAGCACAGGGGCTGGGCTAGTGTCAGTGCTCTGCTAATGAGGCAGAGAACTGACAAGCGGGAGGGGAAGCTGGGGTAGGATTCCAGCTTGCCACTACCTTTCCTGCCCCCATCACATTCCTGTCACAGGATTCCACAGCTCACTGGGCTCTGTTTTCCTTGTGCTCATAGCAGTTGGGACTGAGTCATTGACCACCTACCTGTTCACACAGCCTCCACTGCGTGTTCACCCTCTGTCTACTATCAGTCTAGGTGCGGGAGGCCAGCCCTGGGGAATCCATATCTTAATGAAAGAGAAACAATCATCTATGACTAGGAAAGAAATTTTGGAGTGTTAGCAGGTGAAGAGGGTGTCAGAGCTAGAAGAGTGGTGGTTAATGTGTAAATACGTCTGGGCCACTTGGTTAAGAGCCTCTGCCCTGAGACCTGCCTGCTCCCTGGAATCCCTCAGACTTTCACTGACCAGTCATGGAAACCACCATCCTGCCACAGGGGCTTCCGGGACCCTCTGTTGGTGCTGCAGCCAGTCGACTCTGATTGGCAGGTGCCAGGCCACACTGCCTGTGCTTGTTTGTTCTGTCCTCATAGACTTTACTTTATAGAGCAATTTTAGGTTCACAGCAAAATTGAGTGGCAAGTAGAGTTTCTATGGATCTTCTCCCCCTCCCACCCCTGTCAAGATCCTGCGCCAGAGTGGTCCATTTGTTATGATCAGTGGACCTAGAGTGATACACCTTTGTCAACCAAGCCTAAAGTTTGCAAGATGGCTCACTCTTGGTGGTGTTCTTTTTGTGGGTTTTGACACACATGACTGTATCCACTGTTTTCATATTCTACATCATAGTTTTGTGGCCCTAAAAATTCTCTGCTCTCTGCCAGTTACACTGTTTTTTTTTTTTTTTAAAGAGAGAGTGAGAGTGTGAGAGAGAGAGAAAGAGAGAGAGAGAATTTTTAATATTTATTTTTTAGTTTTCAGCAGACACAACATCTTTGTATGTGGTGCTGAGGATCGAACTCGGTTCGCACGCATGCCAGGCGAGCGCGCTACTGCTTGAGCCACATCCCCAGCCCCTTACACTGGTTTTTATATATTCAAAATATGATTCCTGCTTAGACCAGTGCCTGCCTCATTATATGTCCAATAAATCAGGGAAAGAAAGAATGGATAAAGGCATGCTGGGCCTCAGGGTGTAACCCAGAGGTGGAGGGTGCAAAAGACTGACCCCACCCCCAACCTGGGGCCATAGTGGGACTTGGGGCTGGCCTGGCCCTTGCATAGCTTGACCCAGGGATGTCCCAGTGGGGTAGTGAATGACACCTTGGATTACTGGTGAGTGAGGGTCAAGAAGAGGGTGAGCTCTTGACTTTTCTGCAATAACATCTCTCTCTCTCTCTCTCAGAAAAAAAGGCCCAGGGAACTGGTGAATTTCAAGAGCTTCGTGGATGAACTTAACTCACGTCACAATAAGAAGCATGGAGTTTTTTCAGAAATTCCCCGCGACCCGAAAACCCCTCCAGAGAGGATTTACTGGTCCACCCTTAGCCAGTGCCCCCGAAAACTAGTCAGTGTCCAAAGGCAGCTCCCTTATGGGCTGGGGAGGTGGGGTGTGGTGGCTTGCTTGTGGCGGGGAGAAGCTCATTTTTTAAAAAAAATATTTTTATTTTTTTGTAGTGTACACAATAACTTTTTTAAAAAATTATTTTTATGTGGTGCTGAGGATCGAACCCAGGGCCTTGCACATGCAAAGCAAGCGCTCTACCGCTGAGCCATAACCCCAGCCCCGAGAAGCTCATTTTTAGGGACAGACCCACCTGTTTCCAATCCTGGCCTTACACTTTTCTTCTTCTGCCAGCCTCATTATACACCTGCCCTCTGAGGACAGAGAGGCGGCTGTGAGCATTAGATTTTTCTAGAAGCTTAGAGCCTGCCGTGCCTGGTTCCCTGGTCATGCTCAGCCAGTGTTGCTGCCCTCCCCCACTGGCCCTCCAGAGCTGGAGAGAGGGCAAGGGGAGACTGGATCTGGCAGATTGTAAGGGGTCCACCTTCAGAGGTCTGCCCACCTGCTCCATCCAGGGACTAGCAGGCTCAGCCTGGTTCAAGGCAGTGCTCTCTAGGGTGGGGGACTTGAAGGGGACAGTCAGTGCTCTGCATAGGCCCTGGGCTTTCTTCAGGCCCCCCAGGTTGGGTCTGTCTAGAAGGGCATGGACCTGGAGTTGGAATGGGCAGAGGAAAACAAGACACAGGCAGCTTCTGAAGGCCTGCTGGCCATTTTCCACCACACCCCCAGGGGTCAGCATTTGTATTTCACCAAAGGAAACCGAGGCCCAGACCTGGGAAGGGATTTGATGGAAGGGATTTGCCGGGTTCCCCCAGCAGGGGAGGGAATGAGCTGGGCTGGCACCCCGCTCCAGGGCCTGTGTGCCGTCTCTCCCCAGGCTGCTGTCTGGAGTATCTCTCTGGACCCTGCCCGACCATGAGGTCTCTCAGGAACCTGAGAAGAGATGTCAGGCTGGGGGTGGTTAAAGTGGGATGCATGGGTCATGAGGGCACTACAGGGTCCCCTCGTGTCCCCTGTCCTTGACTCAAGGCCCAGCATTGCTGAGCAGGTAAGACTGCTGCCAGGAACCCCCACCTGCCCTGGCTGGGTACTTCCAGGACCTCTTCAATGCTTGGCCTTCATTTCTTCCCCTAGAACACATCTGGCCCTGGTTCATGGCTTCCTCAAGAGACGGAGATCAAACACGTCAACCGGCCGCCATTCCTCCTGGCCTCTAAGCGTTCAGGTGTAAAGACCAACCAGATAGTTTTGGGAAGCTGGGTGAGTGGGCCTGGGGTGGCGGATATGTGTGACAGGCAGGGAACCCCCCTGCCTCTATAGGCAGCCTTGAACCCTCCTTGCCCCTGAGCACTGATCCTCAAATGGAGCTGGAGGCCATCTCTCCCTCCCTCCCACTGTCTTTCTTCTGCCAAGGCTTTGTCTAACTCCAGGTAGCAGCACCATTGCAGGCTTGTTAGGACAGAGGTGGCTGACACAGCAGGCCTGATAGGGCCCAAGCATTGGCATTTCTAACAAGTTTTCAGATGACGGTGATGAGGTTGTTCCAGGGACCACACTTTGAGAAGCAGCCAGCTAAGCCATCTCAGACCACCCTGGCCCATTCTCTTAGTTTCCCAGGGAAACGATTTTTTCATTTTCTCTTTGTATTTGTCTTGTGACCTCAGGGGCAGCTGCTGGAGCTGGCCCATTTTTCATCCCTGGGTCAGCAAGTCCCCCCATCTTGACCCTGTTCTCTTCCTTGTCCCCAGAGGCAGCCATCCCCATGTGTGTGATGGAACTTATAAGCTTGCAGTGTTCTTGTATAAAAGGCCAGTTCTTGGGCTTTGCACATGCCTCCTTCATGTACACACATGGCCAAAGGCCTGTCCTCATTCTGTTCCTCCCTCCCTCCCTTCAGTTTTTAAGTGCACCTTTTATTGGCGACTAATGATTGCACAGAAAGACACAGGAAATCCTAAGTGAACAACTCCAAAGAATGCCTTTGCCCTGTGATCAGCCTGTGGTTGGCTGGATTCCTGTTCTGTGACCAACCCCCAGAGCATTCAAGAGCACATTCTGTGCACCCCAGGGTCTCCTGTGCATTCTGTCCCCTTCAGGTAGCCCTGTCCTGACTCCAGTAGCTCAGGGGAGTTCTGCCTGACTTTGAACGATTGGGTTTTTTTTTTTTTGTTTGTTTGTTTTAATATTTTATTTTTCGGTTATAGCTGGACACAATACCTTTATTTTATTTATTTTTATGTGGTGCTGAGGATCGGACCCAGGGTCTCGCACGTACTAGGCGAGCACTCTACCACTGAGCCACATCCCCAGCCCCTGAGTGACTGTTTTTAAGGTCTGTCCTAGTCTCCCTTGGCACATCTTACTTATAATTTACTCACCTTCTTATGGTTCCACCCCTCCCTATCCTGTACTCCCCAACCTGAGCTTTTGGGTCCCCCCAGTTAAATGTTTAGACTGGAGCCAAATGACCACACTGCCACCTCAAGGTCATCATCTGAAGTAGGAAGGGCTGACATGTGATGGGTTTCAGTGATGGGACAGGACCCCAAGCAGGGAGCCTGTGTTTCTGAGTAGACCTCTCCTGTGGTCCTGTGGGAGGCAGTCCACTGGACACTGGTCTAGATGCTGGGTCGGCATGTCTCCCCTCAGCACTGCTGCCTGTGATTGGCTGGATTCCTGTCCTGCCTTTATTCTGCTTTGCTGTGTCACCCTGGCAAATTTCGTCTCCTGCCTGAACCTCTGTAGGCAGATATCTAGGTGGGATGGTGGATGCGCTTCCTAGGATTGCGGGACAGAGCACTGCAGACATGCTTCACAACCAGAAACGAGCTCTCAGAAAGAGCAGCTGTGGAGGCTAGATGACTGAGATCAAGTGTCAGCAGGAACACGCTCCCTCTGAAACCTGTAGGAGAGGGTCCTTCTTTGCCTCTTTGTAGCTCCTGGCAGCGATCCTTGGGATCCTCAGTGTTCCCCACCTTGTGAAGGCAACTCTCTAATCTCTGCCTCTGAGGGTGGCCGACACCTTGGATCAGGGTCCCACCCTATGCCAATGATCTTAGCCCATTGTATCTGAAACCACTCTATTCCCATAAAGGTCACATTCCCAGGTACTGGGGTTAGGACTTCAGCATATCTTTTCTGGGGGGCGTGATCCAACTCGTAACAGCTGGGGTAGGCAGGGTCGGAGGGGAGAGGAGGAGGCCTGAGATCACGTGTCTGAGGCAGGCTTGCTAATGTCCTGCCCTCTTCTCCCTGGCACAGAACCCAGTAGGGGTGGGCCGCTACCTCAATACCACGCGATTGGAGAACAAGGATACACGGCAGCGATACCGGTCCCTGTACATGGGTGAACCCAAGCGCTACCTCTCAGATCTGAACCGGGACAGGATCATGCAGTGAGTGCAGCTGGAGCTGCAGGAGAGGGGCAAGGGGGGGAGGGGAGGGGGAGGGTTGACCCTGGGATGGACTGGGGGTTCCCCATGCTTGGTTCCCATGGAACATGACTGCTTCCCTCTAAAGCCAGCCAAACAGCAGAGGCAGTGCAGAGACGGTCACCTTCAGATCGTGACCACCTACGTGCCAACTACTGGCTGTGTGAGTTGGGGCGTGTTGCTTAACTCCTTTGAGCCTAGTTTCCTTCAACTGTCAAATGAGCAGGTGGCTGAGGAGGCTCAAATGAGATGATGATCTAAAATTTTTGGTAAGGAAAAGGTACTTACTCAACACTGAATCCTCTATCCCTGACCCACACAGCCTGGATAACTCCACTGCATGGAGTCTTAATTCCCTGGGGCTCACAAAGGGGTTGTTAACTCATTTCAGGAAGTTGTTGTGAAACTTAAGAAAGAAAAGGTACATAAAATGACGTGGAAAATAGAAAGGAGATTGTAAATATTAAACGTGTTGTGTTGGCCTAAGAGGCCATCTGTTGCAATATAATCTCAATTTCAGAAATGTTCAAATGTGAATAAACATGCACTTTAGAATTCAGTGTTTTGTTTTCTAGAAATTGTGAGGCTCGGGGACCAGATCCTGGGGACCAGATTGCTCAGGGAAAAAAAAACAAACAAACGAACAGCTGTTGAGTGCAATTTCAAAAAATCTTTTATTTTTATCAAAGTAATCCTGTGCCTTCCTCTTTCTTGATTCACTCTCTTATTCCAGAGGGTTCCTGAGAAAGAACTTTGGAAGGTAGGATTTTCTTTTGACAGACTGCATGCCTGAAAGTGTTCTTTATTTTTCCCACTCCCAACAGCTGATCTATAATTTGGATGAAAATAAAATCCTAAACTGGGATTTTGAAGGCTTTGCTCCCTGATTCCTGATTTTCAGCATGGCTGTGGAGAAGGCTGATACCATTCTGGCTTTCTGTGACTTGCATTTCTCTTCTCTAGAAGTTTCCAGGGCCTTCTCTTGAGTTCTGGAATTCCATGGTGATGTGACTCGGTGTGGTCGGCTTTCACCCACTGTGCTGGGTATTTAGTGGTGTCCTCCATCTGGAAACTCAGCACCTTCCCTTCTGGGGACTTAACCACTGAGCCACATTCCCATCCCTTTTTATTTGGGACTGGGAAAATTGCTGAAGCCGGCTTTGAACTTGTGATCCTTCTGCCTCAGCCTCCCGAGCTGCTAAAATTACAGGTGTTTGCCACTGGGCACAGCTTCTCATTTTCCATCTCTGCCTATTCTGTTCTACGTCTTTCTGGTAAAATTTCCGTGTCTTTGTTTTCCAACCCTACTCTTCTTGCCTTTTAAAATTTTGACTCTCATATTTTTTTAATTTCCAGGAGATCTTTTGCTCTTGTGGGTTGCTCTCTTTTTTTTTTCTCTTTCAATAACACTCAGTTCTGTGTCAAGTACGCAGTGTGTCCTGCTCCCTGCTTTGGGTCCTGTTCCTCTAAGTTCCTTTTCCTCCATCATCGGTTCAGGTGTCAGAGGACAGCACCATAACAATACCAGGAGCCTGGCTGGGGATCTGGTCATTCACTCTAATGTTTTTAGGGCTTTTCTCTGGATCTATTTGGTTCCACTAGAAAAGACTTCTCCATCCTGGGTTGGGGTAGGTGTGGTTGCTGGTTCTGGGAAGGGTTGGGGGGCCTCCTGCCGTCTGTGCACCTCCCCTCACCCCTCTACTCCTGCTGAGGTGCCCATCTGCCTAGTTCCACTAGGCCACGGGGCACCTCTCCACGCACTAACCCTCCAGTCCCTGAGAGGGGGCGAGGGATTGGTGGGGTCGTGTGTAGCTTGCTCTCTCTCCTATTGATCTGGTACCTGTGTTTTGAAACACTGGTGCCTCCAGTGCCTAGGCCTGCCCTGGGTTTTGTAGCAGGAGTAACAGCTTCTTGTTGTCTTCCCTGCGGCCTTCTCAGGTCTGCTGATCCTTCCCCAAAGCATGTTTATGTCCTTGTCCCCTGATATCTCCTCTCTCTTCCTCTGTCATCTATTTTATTTAAATCCCTTTGTACATCTTTTAGTGGGTTGCAAGAGGGAACAGAGATCAATGCGTACATTCACCTGCCTTGCTTGATGGTAATTCATAAGAAACACTGTTAGTGTGCAAAAGGATCTTCCCCCTTCCTAGCCGAGGTGGTTAGCCTTATTTTATGGATGTTGAACCAACACCAGAGAAGGGAACAAGGGGAGCAACTTGCCCTGTCACACTTGGCGACAGAGAGAGCAGGGACTAGAATCCAGTCCTTCCGTTTCTGGGCAATGTCTGTCCTTCCTACACACCAGTGCCTGTGTGAAGATTTGGGGGAGCCAGGAAGAGGCCATGCCCAGCTGTCCACAGGCCACCCCTTCCCAGCCACTGTTTCAGCAAAGCTCTAGGTGACACAGCATTTGCTTTGCAAAGGACTCTAAGGAAGGGAAGGATGGCTGTGTCCCACTGGGCCCTCTGTCTTCTTCCCCCTTGGGGCTAAAATTCTCCATTACCACTATTCTCACACGCAGGCATCTGAGAGTCTCTCCTTTACAACTTGGCTTAGAATTCCATCTGCCACTTAGCTCTGTGACCTCCCAAACAGACTTTATCTGAAAAAAGATGGTCATAACTACTCTGCAGATTCTGTTATGAGGATTAGATGAGATGATCGTGAGAATGTGCTCCGTCCTGTGGATTCTCTTTGTAGGGATGTTGCAAATGCCAGCTAACTCTCCCCTTAGCAGCTGATGCTCTGGCAGAATTTTGTGTTTTATTTATTTATGTAAGGGGTAAGTTCTTTTTTTAAATTTTTTTTATTTATATGTGACAGCAGAATGTATTATGATTCTTATTACACATATAGAGCACAATTTTTCATATCTCTGGTTGTATACAAAGTATATTCACACCAATTCATGTCTTCATACATGTACTTTGGATAATAATGACCATCACATTCCACCATCATTAATAACCCCATGCCTCCTCCCTTCCCCTCCCTCCCCTTTGCTCTATCTAGAGTTCATCTATTCCTCCCATGCTCCCCCTCTCTACCCCACTATGAACCAGCCTCCTTATATCAGAGAAAACATTCAGCATTTGTTTTTTTGGGATTGGCTAACTTCACTTAGCATTATCTTTTCTAACTCCATCCATTTACCTGCAAATTCCATGATTATATTCTCTTTTATTGCTGAGTAATATTGCATTGTGTATATATATATCACATTTTTTTTATCCATTCATCTACTGAGGGGCATCTAGGTTGGTTCCACAGTTTAGCTATTGTGAATTGTGCTGCTATAAACATTGATGTGGCTGTGTCCCTGTAGTATGCTGTTTTTAAGTCCTTTGGGTATAGACCGAGGAGAGGAGAGGGATAGCTGGGTTAAATGGTGGTTCCATTCCCAATTTTCCAAGAAATCTCCATACTGCTTTCCATATTGGCTGCACCAATTTGCAGTCCCACCAGCAGTGTATAAGTGTACCTTTTTCCCCACTGGTAAATTCTTTATAGAGGTTGGAAACGCACATTATTCAGGGAAAGAAATTGCAGTGGTTTAACTCATTTTTTTTTTTTTTGTACCAGGTATTGAATTCAGGGGCACTTGACCACTGAGCCACATCCCTAGCCCTATTTTGTATTTTATTTAGAGACAGAGTCTCATTGAGTTGCTAAGCACCTTGCTTTTGCTGAGGCTGGCTTTGAACTTGTAATCCTCCTGCCTCAGCCTCCCTAGTGGCTAGGATTACAGGCGTGTGTCACCATGCCTGGCAGTTTAACTTATTCTTGTTGTCAAAGACCCAAGGAAAAGTTAGAGATTTTTTAATAGAGGGAGAAATGGAGGGGGGCATTTAAATCCTGAGGGAGGAGGGAGGGCTTTGAAAGAGAAGGAGGAACCCATTGAATTAACTAGACACTTCTTCCTGAAGTCATAAATAAGACACGGATTCTTGTATCATTATTATTCAGCATTGCTTTGGAGGTTCTAGCAAATGCAGTAAGACAAGAAAAATAAATAAGAAATATAAATATTGGGAGGGAAGAGCAAAATCATTGCAGTTTTTAATGATATATGTGTTTGCTAAAAAATTCCAAGACAGTTAATTTTAAAGCTGTAAAGCTTAGAAGGCAAGAGCAGTGAAATGTATGAATGAATAGTTCCCTCCTATGCCACAGGCACAGCGAATAGAAAACTGAATTGAGAGAAAAAGAGAGTTCCATTCTCATTAGCAAAACAAATGATAAAATGCATTGGAATAAGCTTAAAAAGGTCCATTTAAGGCACATATGAAGAAAAATATAAATCTTTACTAAAGGATGTTAAAGAAGCCTGGATAACTAAGGAGAATATCATTTTCATGGAAAGAAAGACTTGATATTGGGAAAATATTATTTCCTTTGGTTTACACATTTAATGCCTTTAAAATCAAATCCCAAAGAGCTTGGCAGAGGGGAACTGGATAAATTGATCATGAACATCATCTGAAAGAGTATATAACTATGAGTAGTTAAAAAAATAATGATACTGTTTAAAAATTCATCAATGAGCAGAGAAATCATAACATGGAAGATAAACTCCAAACTGTTGACCATGATTACCTCTGGAGGGGAGGGTTACCAGGTTCTTTCACATTCTACCTTGTTTATTTCTGAATTGTTGGATTTTTTTTCAGAATAAATATTTATTATCTTTAAAATCAAGAAAAAATGCAAACAGAAAGAGGAGGACAAGAGTTCTTGAGATAGACTACACAAATTAAGTGTTCTCATCTCCAGCCAAGAGTCATCCTTTGTTTTTTAGTCCTCAGTTTCCCATCTGTGAAAGGGGAATAAATTGTGCCCTGCAGGGACACAGTAAAGCATAATCGAGGCTTTTGAATGCTCGGAGCAGGAGCCAATCAATAGGTCTGGTGGGTGTCAGATTGTCACGCTGGTGAATGATGCTCCCTGGGGCTCAAGTTCCTCAT